GGCAGCCCAGGCTTGCTCTCGGGGTTATGGCTTTGGGAATGCGTATTGTGTGTGTAACTCAAAATTCTTAGAGACGTTTAAAAGACTTACCAGGATAGAAACGGGCCTTGGAGATTTGTGCAATTGAAAGCAAAGTCAGTTTCATTTACTAAGAACTCATATTTTAAAAAGACAGGAGGGGCTGGGATGTAGCTCCATGGGCAGAGTGCTTGAATAGCATGCAGGAAGCCCTGCGTCCCCCCAGTACAACGTAAACTGGGCATGGTGGTAGACTCCTGCCATCCCAGCGCTCCAGAGGTGGAGGCAGGAGCATCAGAAGTTCAAGGTCATCCTCAGCTTCATAGTGAGTTCAAGGCTAACCTGGGCTATAGGAGACCACGTCTCAAGGAAAACAAAACAAAAAAAAAAAAGTTGTAGCCACAAATACGCCTGGCAGAACTGCAGTGATACGGTTTATCCGTGTATAATAGTGTAGAGTGTGCGTGCACTTCTGTCTTCTTGTGTGCATTCTAGACTATAGTAGAACATGCTTTTGCTCTGAAGGCATGGTTTACTGCCGTTATTCACAGGGTACAGAAAATGAAGTATTTATACCATGATGCTGTCTGTAGAATTGCAAAAGGAGGTTCTGGCTCTGAACCCCAGGACTGCCCCTCCCGGCCGTAGGTCTCCCTGCATCTGCATCCATTAGAGCTCCTGTGGAGATAAAATGAGAGTCACTATCATTTTCTCTGTGCATCATTTTTCTTGTTTCTGTGGCAAAATATTTTTTTTTCTTTTTCTTTTTGGTTTTTCGAGACAGGGTTTCTCTGTGGCTTTGGAGCCTGTCCTGGAACTAGCTCTGTAGACCAGGCTGGTCTCGAACTCACAGAGATCCGCCTGCCTCCCGAGTGCTGGGATTAAAGGCGTGCACCACCATCACCCGGCTGTGGCAAAATACTTGACAAAAGAAATTTAAGGGTTTGTTTGGGCTCACTGTGTGTGTGTGTGTGTGTGTGTGTGTGTGTGTGTAGGGGCACAGTCCATCAAGGCGTGGCAGCAGAAGGGTAAGGCAGCTGGTCATATGGCATCCACAGTCAGGAAGCAGAGAGAGCTGACGCTGATGCTCAGCTCACTTTCTCCTTTTTATTCAGTCCCAGACCCCAGTCCCTGGAGCAGTACCATCCACATTTAGGGTGGGTCTTCCCTCCTCAACTTACCCAGTCTAGAAACTCCCTCACAGACCTGCCCAGAGGCTGGTCTCGCAGGTGCTTGTAGCTCCCTTCTAGTTGACAGTCTTTGCCGTCACACAGGCTTGGGACAAGACTGGGAAAGTAAAGAGAACTCAGATGTCGGGGTGGTGTCTGTAGACATCCCACTTGTTTCTCTTCCAGGATGGACTGATTACAGAAAGTGCAGCATTCCCTGAGACTCCTTTATCGTGGGAGTCCATTGATTTACGCTGAAATGCAAACTTTCACCCTCATGCCCTCTGCCCACAGCTGATGTCTGTTTTCATCATAGGAGAAACTTTCTTTGGGTTGAGGTCAGAACAAGATGAAAAGTCATTTTTTAAAAATGTGTGTTTGCATGTGTGGTTTGAGGGAGAAGCGTACAGGTACCAGCAGGGGCCAGAGGCATGCAGTCCTCCTTGGGGTTAGAGTTTCAGGCGAGCTGCCAGACATGGAGACATAGGGACCAAACTTGGGTCTTCTGGAAGAGCAACAAGTGCTCTTAACCACTAAACCTTTTCTCTAGATGACGAAAGGTCGTCTTTGGTGTCATCATGCATGACTCTGGCCTTGGATTTCTAAAAGGAAAGTGAAGAATGCTTTGGTTTAGGGTGGGGTTCTCTCCGTGGAAGTCTGGATGCACAGAGCTGCTCTGTAGTCATCCACTCGGGGACTGAAGCTCTTAGAATCACCTACTGGTGGGAAGGGAAGTCTTATGCCCTCATGTCGAAGACATCCAGGATCTGGTGACAAGTTGTGTTACCTAGACCAGAGACATGGAAGGTCAGGCGTGGGTTCTGGCTGTGTGTCTGTTATGTGTAATGCCGCCAGCGGACAAGTGCCGCTCCTCCAGTTACTCTCACAGTGAGGCTAGGAATTTAAAATGTGGACGAAATTTCAGGGGGAAACTTCTATATGTAATGTGTTTTTCGGACAGCCTCAGAGTTGATTTAGAACCAAAGTACAATCACAACACAGCAGGAGAAGAATAGGTGGGGGCGTGGCTCAGTTGGTAAGCTTGCCTGACAGGCTGGACTCTCTGGAGTCCACCCCCAGTCCCACATAAGCCATCTGTAGTGGTGATTGCCTGTGATCCTAGCACTGAGGAGGTGGAGACATGAGGAGTGGAAGTTTAAGGTCATCCCTGACTACATAGGGAGTTTGAGGCCAGCCTGGGCTACATGAGACCTGGCCTCAAGGAAAAAGAATACACTTTTTCTTCCCCCTTTGTCTCACATTCATGCTTTAAGCTGAAAAAATCTTTGACACAAATAAATTACACACGTGTATTTTTTTCTTATTTTGGCAATTTTTAATCTTATTTTTGCTACATTTTAGATAACATGACATATAATAAGATTCACTAAATATTTTAGATAGTCATTTTTTCTGTAAGTGCCCATATGGGGGCTTAGACAAACGGAATCACAGAAACAAACATGTCAAGAATAAAGTGTTAGTCACTACAACAGCTTCCTGAAAATAACAGTTCAAAACTGCCATCTTAAAGTCTCGAGCCCCAGATCCCAATCTTGGCCTTTTAGCATAACAACGGACTGCCTTAAGGATGCTTCCAATGCACTGGCTGTCTCCCAGTCCCTCCTTTTTTCCTGTTCTAGAGCCCTCCCTCTGTGCCCCTGGAAAAGGAGGAAAAAGAAAAACAGCAGCAGGCAGCCCCTGCTTTGTCTCCTGTTGGCCATAGAATTTATTCAGTAATTTACTCTTCAGCTAACTGTAGCCATGGCCCTTGCCTCTGGGCGCTGGTTCAAAAACACAGAAATGAGGGAACAGATTGGCTTGGCCAAGCACAGCTCCCAGTCACAGCCCTGCTCTCTCCTCCCTCCCCCTGTCACCGCCCTTAGGCACAGGCGCTGGAGACTGGCTGAAGACATGGCAGTGTTTATGTAGCCTGTGCATCTCCACATCTCCTTTGCATCCTCGCCCCTCTTCCCCCATCCTCCCTCAGAAAGGTGACAACAGACCTGGGGTGTCTCGTTCCTAGCAGGCCACCTCCGATGGTTGGGAAGGTTTCCGGAGGCTGGGAAGTGGCTCAGTCATCCTGGGCACCCACATAAAAATGCTGGGTGTGGCAGCACTCACAGTCCCAGTCCTGGGGAGGTGGAGACAGGCAGGTGGCTGGAGCACCTTGGCCAGCCAGCCTAGCCAAAGCAGTGACCTCACAGTTCATTGAAAGACACTGTTGAAGATGGAGGGGCTAAAGAGATGGCTCTGTGGTCAGGAGCTCACGCCTCTGCTAGTTCCAACACAACCTCCTATAGCCCCATTTCTGGGGATCCAACGCCCTCTTCTGGCCTCATGCGGGCACATGCATAAACACATTAAAAAATGTTTAAAAAATAATAAGGTGGAAATTGTATGAACAAGACACCTGAACTCTGGCTTCGTGCGTGCACGTGCCCTTCCCCAACGCAGAACTTCTGAACTGACTTTGTATCTGGCAAAGCTTTCCTTGGCTCCTAGAAACCCAGAGCAAAGGTAGCAAGATGACTTCCCCTGACATTAAGTACCCAAAGGCGAATGGACTTGTCTGAACCTGCAGTGTCTGGCATGTACCAAATGACCAATCTCAACTACTGGGGCATTTATTTGCCTTCGTGTTATTTATCTCTGTTTTATTTGGGTCAGACTGAGCAATGGTTGCTTCATTTCATATCAGCCATGTGTGGCCTTTGCTGAGCCATCTCCTGACAAGTAGAAATTTATCTGAACGGGGTGGGAGGTAGAGTTGGTGCGGGTCCTGTTTAATCAAGAGAGAATTGTCTTCTGATCAGATTGCCCTGCCTGGTGGCACATACTTGGAAATCACAGAGGGCAGAGATGGCTCCTGTTGATAAGATGATAACCACAGGAGGACCTGATTTCAGTTACCAGAACTGACATAAAAAGCCAGGTGTCGTGACACACACAGGAAACCACAGCACTGAGGACGCAGAGGCAGGGAGCTCCCTAGGGCTCACTGACAGCCAGTGTGTGGCTGTTACGCAGGCAGCCTCGCTTGTACTTACCAAGCCAAAGCGGCTTAGGATATCTTCAAGCCGTGACTCTCATGGTGCAATCCATGTTCGACCATGATACAGAAGTACATGACTGTACATACTGTGTTTGTGTGTATAGATCAGAGGCTGATGTTTAATATCTTCTTCAATAACTTCCATCTTAGTATTTATCCCTTTGTCTGTCCGTCTGTCTGTCTGTTTTGAGGCAAAGTCTCTCAGTGAACCTTGAGTTTACCCTTTTCTGCTAGGCAGGCTGGCCATCCAGGCACTGGGATCCACCTGACTCCCTGTCAATGCTGGGATTATAGACGTGCATCCCAACCCCCAGCCTTTTCTCTGCATGCATATGATAGAGCCTAGGTGCTCCTGCTTGCATGGCCAGTGCCTTCTCTCTGAGCCGCCTCAGCCTGATCAAACTTGAGTTGCCAGGCTTAGCCACAGCCCTCCACAGTCTCTGGCTGAATCTGGGACTCCCAGAGGAGGCTGTGCTGCCGTTCCCCGCTCAGCCATCTCCCCAGCCCCTGTGTATGTTTTATCAGAGAAAACCCCATGGAGGAGGTGAAATTGCAGATTATGCTGCTTGATTCTGATTTACCCAAACTAGATGGCAAACCCAGCTGGAATCATAGCTGATTGAGCTCCCGGGTGAGGCATAAACAGATTAAGTACAAGCAGAACCAGTGGGTTAGACGGCTTGTGTTGATTCTGTAATGCAACCACTGATCTGTGCCTGCTAAATGTTCACAGCCCTGTCTTTTGCTTTCTACATCAGCTCACACCCCAGACAACAGCTTTCTGGGCTTCGTGGTCGAGCAGCACCTGAACTCCAGTGACATCCACCACATTAACGAGATCAAACGGCAGAACCAGTCCCTTGTATATGGCAAAGTGGATAGTTTCTGGAAGGTGAGTCAGCCCGCCTGCGTGTTGAGCTCTCTGAACGAAAGCTTGGGAGGTAATTTAATTTTGCTTTGATCTGGGGAGTAATCAAGCCAAGCACCCGGGGCTTGCGTCGTCCACTAGACATGAACAGAAGTACACAAGTGTTCAGTTCCTCTAGCAGGCTGGCGTCCTAACTGTGCCTGGGTTGCTTGTTCCTCCTTAGAGCATCAGTACCCCAATCTTTTACCTCTTTGCATGTTAGATGTGAAAAGTGGACTAGGGAAATGCTCGGTGGGTTAAGTACATGAAGACCTGTACTCAGTTTCCTGCGGCCACATAAAAAGTAGGGCATGCTTGCAACTTCAGCAGTGCTGGGTGGATGCAAAGACAGCTGATGTCTGTTTTCATCATAGGAGAAACTTTCTTTGGGTTGAGGTCAGAACAAGATGAAAAGTCATTTTTTAAAAATGTGTGTTTGCATGTGTGGTTTGAGGGAGAAGCATACAGGTACCAGCAGGGGCCAGAGGCATGCAGTCCTCCTTGGGGTTAGAGTTTCAGGCGAGCTGCCAGACATGGAGACATAGGGACCAAACTTGGGTCTTCTGGAAGAGCAACAAGTGCTCTTAACCACTGAACCTTTTCTCTAGATGACGAAAGGTCGTCTTTGGTGTCATCATGCGTGACTCTGGCCTTGGATTTCTAAAAGGAAAGTGAAGAATGCTTTGGTTTAGGGTGGGGTTCTCTCCATGGAAGTCTGGATGCACAGAGCTGCTCTGTAGTCATCCACTCGGGGACTGAAGCTCTTAGAATCACCTACTGGTGGGAAGGGAAGTCTTATGCCCTCATGTCGAAGACACCCAGGATCTGGTGACAAGTTGTGTTACCTAGACCAGAGACATGGAAGGTCAGGCGTGGGTTCTGGCTGTGTGTCTGTATGTGTAATGCCGCCAGCAGACAAGTGCCGCTCCTCCAGTTACTCTCACAATGAGGCTAGGAATTTAAAATGTGGACGAAATTTCACGGGGAAACTTCTATATGTAATGTGTTTTTCAGACAGCCTCAAAGTTGATTTAGGACCAAAGTACAATCACAACACAGACATCCCCAGGACTTTTCAAACATATTTCTTCCTTAATGCCCAATTATACCCTTCTTGGAATAATCACAAGCTGTGACCTTGTGTCTCCCTGATGGTGGAAGTTAGAAACTGACCCCTGAGGGTATCGGTGACATGCCCAACTAGGAGGTCTAGTTGCTTTTCTGATCTGCTGTTCAGAAAATAAAAGGTGCAGACCCTTCAGGTTTGTAGGTTTTACATGTATTCATTTCTCTCTCTCTCTCTCTCTCTCTCTCTCTCTCTCTCTCTCTCTCTCTGTGTGTGTGTGTGTGTGTGTGTGTGTGTGTGTGTGTGTGTAAGGCTTATACATCCATGTGGAGATCAGAGGACAACCTGAAGGAATCATTTCTTTCCTTCTACCATGTGAGTTCCAGGTTCTGGAGATTAAAATTGGGTTGGCAGGCTTAGTGGCAAGTATCTTCGTGGACTAAGCCATCTTGTGGGTCCCAGTGGCTAAGGTGGACATTGACTTATTCCCAGATAATGGTTTTTATTGTAAACAACGAGACTCTGTACTACATAGTATCATGGTTCTCCACTAAGGACAGTGTCACTGCCTCCCACCTCTAGCGGGTGATCCGGCAGTGTCTCCCGGCAATCCTGATCGTCATGTCTGGGTAGAAGTAGTACTGGTGTCCAGTGGGTGCAGGTGAGGAATATTATAAGCATTCCATAGTACATAGGAGGTTCCCCGCATAGTTCTGACATACATTGGCAGTGATGTCAAGATTGGGGACCTCTGCTCTAATAAAATAGTATTCTTTATGTGTTATCACAAGTTGAATATTGCTAGCTAAAAAATTTGTAAATCTCAAATACTTGATGTTAGCATGATGCTGGGAGATTTGGGGGTGGGGGAGTCTACCGGTGACATCATGTGGCAGGTCTCAGTTCAAACCCAGAAATTTAGGAAATGACTCTCATCCTGTGTGTGTACAAACAGTGTAAGGTATAAGGTGAATGTGAAATCTGTCCCCATGGGCTCATGTGTTGTGTTGATCCTGAGCTGTTGCTACTATTTTGGAAAAATTTGGAGCCTTTAGGAGGTGGTGCCTCCCTGGAGGAAGTAGTTCACTAGAGAAGGGGCTTGAGGATTCAGATTCGTAGCCCTGCCCTGCTTCCTGTTCACGATCTCTGCTTTCTGACTAGACACTATGCAGCCTAAGCTGGTCAAGTAATACTTAGTACATAGATTAGGATGGCCTCAAATTCTTAGCAATCCTCCTGCCTCATTTGACTCCCCCAAATGTCTGGGATTACAGATGTAAGGACTTCTGCGAGCCACCACGACCAGCCTTGTTTTGCATTCTTGAAACAGGGTCTTTGTGTTATCCAGGCTGCCATGGAACCTCAGATCCCTCGCCGCAGCCTTCCTGGTACAGGAATTCAATGTGTGCACCACACACCCAGCTCTTGGCTTGTTTCCCCCCCCACACACACAGGACTCCTCAGTAGGGTTTAGCACATCTCACAGCGTAACTAAATGTTGCTATCACTGATATCGTTATCGGGCCGGTTAAGAATCGCCACACCGAGAGCTGGTTCTGAGTATGAGGATGGCCAAGCCTGTGCGCATCTGGTAAATACAGGCCAGCCTGCAGACAGGCAGATGCCCATTTCTAAACTGTGCCAGCAGTTGGTGACCCCTGCCCATGTGCTGAATCCAGCCTAGTGTCTGTATTTGTAAATAGCATTTTATTGGAGAACAGCCATGCCTGTTGTTTGTCTGTGGATGCTTTTGTACTAAAATTGTGGAGTTGAGTAATTGTGCAAAGACCAGCTGACCTACGGAGGCAACAGCATTTACTGCCTGGCCTTTTCGGGAGCTCCTCGCTCACCTCTGAACTCTGGTATGTCCTGAGAAATCCCCAGTCTCTCTCAGGATGCATTTTAGATAGCCTTTCCATTTCTTTTTCTCTCTGTCTCTCACTTTATGTACATGGGTACATAAGGATGCATGGGCATGTGCGTGTGGAGCCAGGAGACAGCCTTGGTTGTCATTCATCAAGCATTTCACCTTGTTCTTGACTTGACTTTTCTTTTTTTTTCTTTCCCTTCCCTACCCTTCCCTTTCCTTTTCTTTTCATTCTTCTTTTTTTTGTGGGGGAGGGCGTTCAAGATAGGGCTTCTCTGTAGCCTTGATTGTTCTGGAACCCCCTCTGTAGACCACACTGGTCTTGAACTGGGAGATTAAAGGCCTAGTCACCACTGCCCAGCTCTACCTTGTTTTTTGAAGGCAGAGTCTTTCTCTGCCCTGGAACTCACCAGTTCCACTAGGTTGCCTGGTTTGTTCAGCAAGCCCAGAAATCTGACGTTCTCCACATCTCCACTACTGGTGTGTTCACAAGGGTGCCACTGTGCCCAGCTTTTTTATGTAGGTTCTGTGGGGTCAAACTCAGGTCCTCATGCTTCCAAGGAAAATACTTTACCTCCTGAACTGTTTCTCCAGAACTCATTTTGAGGTTCTTCATTATGCTGGTGATTAACTTATTCATGGAGAGATGAGGCAGGACTTGAGCAAAATTCAGCTATTTCTAACGGAATAGCCCCGTGCACAAAGGCTGGCATCAAGCTGGCTGCTTCTCTAGGCTTCAGTGAAATGACGAATGCATCATTCTCATTTGGTTTCTATTGCTGTAATAAAACACTGGCCAAAACCAACCTGAAAGAGGAAAAGTTATAGTCACCGAGGGAAGCCAAGGCAGAGCCGAAACAGAGACCATGGAGAAATGTCACTTACTCGTTAGTTTGCTTCTCTGGCTTGGTCGGCGGCCTTTCTCATACAGCGCAGGTGTAGTTGCCTACAGTGGGGCGGGTCCTCCTGCATGATAGCAGTTAAGAAAATGTCTCACAGATGTGGCCACCAGGAAATGAGACGGAGACAAATCAGATTTCTTCTTCCCAATTATATCTAGGTTTGTGTCAAGCTGGCATTGGCCAATGGGGGATGTTGATAACTCAGTGGTAGATGCTTGGGCTTAAATTCCCAGCACATGCTAGGCTCTTTGTCCCATCTCCAGCATTATAGCAGTTGGTGGACATGATTCCACCGTTTGAATCCCTTCATAGCCATCATTGAAGGTGGTCCATGCTGATGTCTTTTGCTCTTGGCCATCCTTAACGATGATGGCACCAACATGGCCACAGTCCCTCAATCTGTTCAAATGGCAGCGCCAAGATCCAGGCTCTGCACTACCTCTCTTGACTCAACTCCTTGTTGTCCCTTGCTTGATTGAAATTGGTGACTTCATGTACAAAGCAGTGTTCCAAAGCTTGGACAGGCAATCACCCTGTGTGACCAGAGTGGACAGCAGGAGACCAGGGCAGATATTAACAAAGCAGATAAGCCACTGCTCCTGTCCACTTGCCTCCCCGGTGGCCAGCTCCGCAGTAGCCTTACAGTTCTGCTGAGTGACTAACTCTCCATCACAGTCATTCATATAATTTTCTGCTCCAGATTCCAGGGCCTGGCTTGCTGCAGACGTAGCCTGCCTGGCAACAAGCAGAGAAAACCTATCTCATTTGATTAGGGAAAACTTTTGATCTGGACCTCTGAGATTATGGTTGGAAGCACACACATTCAGCTTCAACCAATAACAGGTCCCTTTACTTCGGGCCTAAGAAATGGGGCAGAATAATGTCCGTAAGTGGACCATGACTGTAACACACACACACACACACACACACACCAGTTTTCTAATTAATTCTCAATGTATTCTATATATAATAGCCAGGGAGATTTTCTTCCAATGTAGATTGGGAAGTTTGGGAGATGGTTCAGTTGTTAAAGTGCTTACTGCTCAAGCAAAAGGATTCGAGTTCAGATCCCCAGTGCTTAGTTGAAAGCTGTGCAAGGTAGAACACACCTGTAACCCCAGCACTGAGGAGGCAGAGACAGAAGGATTCT